GCCCCCCCGCCTCATCTCCCCCTCCCCAGGAGTGAGCGCGTCCGCCCCCCACGACCTCATGACTTAACGTCGCACGCCAGTAGCTGACTGGTGCCCGGCCCGCGCCGCGAGGGAACCCGAGGGAGCTGATTCGAAGATCCGGTAGGAAAAACCTAACAGTACAATGTATACTGTTAAGCAGGGATTCTTTATTGCGGTAACGGGCACACGGGGGATTTCTCCTCCAAACGTGCGCGCCAGACACCCTGTTGCTTCAGGTTAAATACAATCACACATGTAAATATTCATTATATTTCTAGGAACTAATTAGCATATGTAAATATCTTTCACGCATGTCTGTTAGCATCTTTGGGTGGTCTTCGGGGGTCCCAAGATGAAGGCCCATCCTCTTCATTACGCTGTTCACTGATTGACATTCGTCTCTACGCAAACTCAGTTCTAGGATCACGTATATCACGTCCTTCAGGTTGTTTGGCTCTAGTCTTGTTGCTCTCTCGGTGCCTCCTTATCTCTGTAGCTTGGCGCATTTGCCCTCCCAAGGCCGAGCTGTCTGGAGTAGAATTATCATAGAATCATAGAAAGTTTTGGGTTGGAAGGGACCCCTTCCATAAACCGAAATGCAGCCAAGCTCAGCATTTGGCTTTGGTTACACAGGATGTTCTGCTAGATTTGTAACACCATATTGTGATAGGGTCAGTGACCTGTGGCGTTTTTTTTAAAAGGAGAATCAAAGTTATTTGCTGAGGACTTGCAACTGGTAGGCATACCTGGCTAGTTTGTCTTAAATCAGGCTTGAGCCTGTGTAGAGTCGGGCGGGTGCAGAGTGACTGGCACTAGAATTTGCGTTGCACATTTTAAACACCTGTTTAAAAAGGAAACTTCTAGCAGAAAATACTTCCATATGAACACTTAACTGAAAGGTGAAGAAATCCAAGTTCTGCCTTAGCAGGAAGCTCCCAGTGGGAGCTGTGGCTCACCGTGAGAAAAGTGAAGGAGCCTGGGACACTTAAATGGTATTGTATGATTTTTTTTTTGGGACAGCTTAAATGGTATTGTATGATTTCTTTTTGGTTGTCCTGGCTGAAATCTAATTGTGTTGCACATGAAAACAATTATTTCCTCCTGCAGAATTACTTTCCATAGTTCGTTCAGATGTAAGTACCTTGCAGAGAAGCGTTGCACATGAAAACAATTATTTCCTCCTGCAGAATTACTTTCCATAGTTCGTTCAGATGTAAGTACCTTGCAGAGAAGCCTTGTGAGGAGGAGACAGAGGATAAAAATCCGTTGGATCCCAAAGCTGTGATTTCTGTGTCACTGTTTTAGCCGAGATGTGTTTGTGTGACTTCAGATTCTAAGGCTTGCATGGAAATCACGGAAAGCAAAGTTAACAGAGCAGGCTTCTGTTCTGAAGTTTTTGTCCTTGGGAAGGGTTTTCTGGAGGTTGAGGTAAAAGGGTAACTACACAGTGAGTACATTTCAAATCTTATGGAAAGCTATTGGAAGAATTTATGACTTCAGTTCTGTAGGGATGAAAATTTCTCCAGAGAGCAATATAAGGCTATTTTTTCAAATATCTGAAACTAATATTAAAGGTTTGTTCTCTAACACGTTGCTAAAATGACTTCCCAAGGGAAACAAAAGCAAATCAAATACCTGAATCACTAACATTTTTTCCAGTTTGCACACCAAGATGAGACAGTATTTTAACAAATAACACGGCTTCAGAAAGACCCAGTTATCTATCAAACATGTCTAAACTGAAGTAAAGCAGGCTTGCTTGTATAGGATTTTTTTTTCTCTGGCAATCCTGATTTTTAGAGGTTCATTAATGGAACATTTAACAGATGTTATGTTTATGGAATAGTGCATTGAAATTCAGCTGTGGGTGAGATCGTTCTTAGAAGATGTCTGCTGGAATACTTCTATTTTGTCTTTTTTTAAATTGAATTTAATAATAGCTTTAAACTGTGATTGGACAGAAAGTAGACACTTGTCAAAACCCTGGCATCTGTCTTTGTTTTGTGGGTTTCTTTTTCCCATTGACCATAATTCTTGTGATTTGTTGTTGGGAGTAAGGATTGCATTGGAGGTGTAAAATTGTACGGTATTGTGAGATTGCGCGGCGTGGCTGAAGACGCTCTTCCTGCAAGACGGTACAGAAGAAGCGGATTCCGCACCGTGTTCTGTAGGGACCATAGTGAACACATGTAAAGGGAAATTTAGTCATAAATCAGTAGATGTTGTTGGTGCGACAGGGCAAAAAGAAAATTAACCTTTCTTAAAAGCTGTTGAAATTTAGATTGGGAAAACAGTGGGTAACTCACCAGTTTCTATATATGCCTGAATGTCCGTTGCCTTTGTAAGGACGAGATTTATTAAGCAAATTAGAGGCACAAATAACTTTTAAAAATGGGGAAACTGAATTATTGATACCAGAATCAAAAGCTGTAGAGGCGAGAGTGTTTATGTTACAGGATTCTTTTAAGGAAGAGCAAATTCCAGAAGAGGTGGAAAACTCAGTAATCCCCTTGGTTTGGCCAAATGAAGTTCCGGGATGGTCCAAATTAGCAGAACCGGTAAAAGTGACCTTGAAACCTGGATCCAAACCGGTAAGACAAAAACAATACCCTATTAAGGGGGAGGCTCAAAAAGGATTGGAGGGGTTAATCACGAAATTTTTGGAATATGGACTTTTGGTAGAATGCGAGTCAGAATATAACACTCCTAAATTACCGGTAAGGAAATCTGGAGGAAAAGAATATCGACTAGTCCAAAATTTAAGAGCTATAAATCAGATAGTTCAAGATATACACCCAGTAGCAGCCAATCCCTATATTTTACTGACGTCTCTGAAAGAGAAACATAAATGGTTTACTGTAGTAGATTTAAAGAATGCCTTCTTTTGCATACCTCTGGATATACAAAGTCAAAGTATATTTGCTTTTGAATGGAAGAGCCCTGCTACAGGACAAAAGATGCAATTAACACAGATTGTACTTCCACAAGATTCAAAAATAGCCCAATATTTGGGAATCGGTTGGCAAAAGAATTAGAAATATGGAAGAAACAGAGCCAGGAAAGGGAACAGTGTTGAACTTAAAAAGGCATTGATGATGGTCCCTGCCTTGGGTTTACCTGATCTAACCAAACCTTTGAAGCTGTTTGTCCATGAGAGGCAACATCTGGCCCTTGGAGTGCTGGCACAACGTCTGGGATCCTGGAAGCGACCAGTAGGATACTTCTCTAAACAACTTGACAAAGTGAGTAAAGGATGGTCGGGATGTTTACGGGCTGTGGCAACAACGGTATTGCTGATTCAGGAAGCTCAAAAATTGACTATGGGCCAAAAGATGGTGGTATATGTACCACACGTGGTAGTAACTGTTTTAGAACAAAAGGGGGGTCATTTGCTATCCCCCAGAAGAATGCTGAAATATCAGTTTGTCTTGCTGGAACAAGACGACGTGGAATTAAAACCACAGCTATTGTAAATCCAGCAATGTTTCTGTCGACGGAAAAACCAACAGAAAGTCTAGAACATGACTGCCTGCTAACTGTTGAACAAGTCTATTCCAGCAGATCAGACCTGAAAGATGAATCTCTGGAAAATCCTGATTTGGAGTTATTTACGGATGGGAGCAGCTTTGTGAGAAAAGGAAGACGAATGGCCGGATACGCTGTTGTCACCACCACCAAGGTACTGAAGTCAGGAACGCTGCCTGCAAATACCTCGGCACAGAAAGCAGAACTGGTGGCGTTAAAGTAAGCCTTGCCAATGGCAGAAGGAAAGAGGGTAAATATATGGACTGATTCCAAATATGCATTTGGTGTGATTCATGCTCATAGGGCTATCTGAAAAGAAAGAAGACTGCTCTCAGCCCAAGGATCATCGATAAAACATAAAGAAGAAATCCTCCAGCTCCTAGAAGAGGTGCAAAAGCCAAAGAAAGTGGCGGTGATGCATTGCAAAGCTCATCAATTTGGTCAGACAGCTGTAAACATAGGTAATAAATTGGCGGACAAAACGGCAAAGGAGGCTGCAGAACGAGGTATCCTTGCACTAGTACCAGTAAAACAGATAAAAATCCCGAATCTGAAACCAAAATATAATAAATTGGATGAACAATTGGTGGAACAATTAAAAGCATCACAAAATACAGAAGGGTGGTGGGTAACGCCAGACAAGCAGGTAATAGTAACCCCGCAAGTTATGTCAGAACTTGCGAAAGAAAAGCATGCACAGACACATTGGGGTGTAGATGCTATGGTCTTGAGTTTAAAATATTCTGTAGTGTGTGTAGGAATGACAGGAATAATTAAATCGATAGTAGCCAAGTGTCCAATTTGTCTCAAAAACAATCCCATCAGAAAAAGGCACCCTTAGGAGTTACGAAACAGGGTAACTCCCCAGGAGACTATTGACAGGT